TGTTTGCATGTTTAGGTTGCATTGCATTTGGCATGGTTGAGTTGCATTGCATTATGTGTGCATGCCTTGTGTTGCATTGTGTTTGGATAGGGTGTTAGTCCAAACACGGGGAACGAGGGATGTTTCATACTTGAAGTGATGAAACGTGCCTCGATTCTCAATCGCCGACCCTCTTGATCATGCATGATAGAGGTTAAGGCATTTATGTGTTTTGTGCATTCATTTGACATTGATTTGTGCACACTTGGATCTTTGGCCATCATGCATCGAGATGCGTGATTGATGGTCTTGGATCCGATTATGCCTCTCCCTTGATGTTTTGAGGTGATATGGGGTGGAATAGTGCGTACATACCCTTGGGAGACCATCCATTTCCTCTATTTTGTGCTCTATTGCAGCTTGGTGTCACAGCACACCAGTGGCCGGCACCCTCTCATTGTTGGCCAGCACCTCTTCATCTGTGGCCAACAGTGTGCATCCTTTGTCAGCAAGAGGGTCGGCAACAACCATTCATGGCCGGTAGGCCACTGGTGCACTCCTCAGCATTGTTTTGGTAAGATCCAGCAGCAAGTTCTTGAAGACACCTTGCAAACAGAGTCTCAAGAGAGCAACCGGAAGGTGTTTCGAGGCGAGAAACCGAGTGCGAGCATGCATCCTTTTCTTCTTCAAACAGAGCTGGAGCAGCTTGGTTTAAATGTTTACTTGTTAGTTAGCACTTGTTGTTTGTAACTTAATTATTTTGTTAATTAGTTAAAGTGTTGTAATAATTAGCTGTAGCTAGTTATTCAATTTGGTTGGGTAATAATTAGTCTAATTAGATTATTAGATTAGTTGATTAGCTTAGCATAGCTAGCTGAGCATATTCATTCGGACCCTCTGTCGCAAGGACAAATTTTGTAATAAGTGTGCGCGCGTGTGTGAATGTCTTCCAACCCCACGTCTTTCTCCCTTTTACTTAACCGCTTTTGATGGTTAGTTTTAGGGCATGTTTCAATTAGCATACTTATGCTTCGCATATTTGCATTCATTCATTTGTCTTGCATGCACCAGGCTCGGCGTATCATACAAGCTGCATTGTATTTCAATACATTTACTTGAATACGTGTTCAACAACATGTTATCAAGTTGCATCTTATATGCCATTTTAGAATAGCCGAGCCTATTTTTAGTTGCCTTTTGCATGTGTTGCATTAGCCATCTTAACATGAGCTAGGATCATACATTGATTTTTAACTAGCTTTTGTTTTGGCTCGGAGTACACTGTAAGCTTTTATGCTTTAGCATCTTGCATGTCTGTAAATGTTGCCATGACAGTATGCTTGCCATGAGGCTAATTGCTTAAGTGTTTAAATGCATGAATGTCTGTGGATGAAGGTTGGATTGCTTGAATTGGAACAATTCATCAAATACGAGTTTTAAGCCCACTTGAAGTGGCAAAATCATGTTTTCCTAAGCCCACTTGAGGGTGGCAAACCCACGTCTTAACCTACTTGCAAGTAGCACCTTCAAACCATTTTCAAACAAACATGAGATGTTTTGTTCCAACTTAGGCGATCTAGTCTATACTTGTATGATGTGCGCATCACATAGTAATTCTAGGCTAATAACCAGAATAAGAACACATATGTTATCAAAACAAAATATCATGCTTAGTACAGGCCGATCTTTGATCAGGCGAGCGGGGGTGCTCATTGGATGACCTTTCCCTCTCCTACCCAAGTTCCCGAGCCGAGGCAACTTTGGTGATGACGGACACGTGGCCTTAGACACGATTCAGGGTTTCCTAAATTTTCCAAAACAAAAACATTTAGGTGGCGACTCTGTATCTGGCAAAGCAGTCCATGTTTGGCACTTCTTTATTAAAATCAGTTTTCCAAAACAATTTGCCGGATTTGGACTCTTTGGTGATTTATCGGTCTTGCATTGCGCTTTGCGAGATTAGATTCAGAACCATGACATTGAGTCCGAACTATAGTAGTCCAATGAACAAAACGGATTTCGTGCCACTTCGCGCGCGAAGCCAGGGACGTTCGGGCACGTCTACACTGGGCTTAAAGCCATTCTGTTTAAAGACTAGGCCCAAGGCCATTCTGGAAATAGTTACAGAATAAAATTAGTTATATGTTTTCTGCACTTACATACATTATAATTCAGGTTAATCATTAAATGGTTTAAGTACTATTATTCACTGAGCTTTGCTCACTCTGTGCTATGTCTGTTTCTGTAGGTACTCAGTCTGGAAGTCACTCCGAGTCCACCTTGGACCACTTGTCTTTTGCCCATTTCACCACAACCAAACACTTAGACGACCAACTAATTTGTGAAATGTGCATGTGTGTAGGTCACAATCTGGGAGGAACTATCGCTCCACTACAGCACAGTGAGTAATAGCACTGTAGTCGTACGCTTTATTTATCGCTAATGATGATTATTAGCACTCTGTTAATCACAAATGAACTATGTTACCTTATGCGAACAATTTGAGGAATCTGTGTATGTTTTATGACTCTAAGACTAGTCTGCTCTGCTGGCATTTTGGCCTAAGGCCAATCTGTAAACTCCGTTGGCTTGAGGCCGATCTGTAAAATCCGTTAGGCCCAAGGCTGTTCTGTATGCTACTGGGCTAAAAGCCACTCTGTTTAAAGATTGGGCCCAAGGCCATCCTGGAAATAGTTACAGAATAAAATTAATTTTATGTTTTCTGCACTTACATACATTATAATTCAAGTTAATCATTAAATGGTTTAAGTACTATTATTCACTGAGCTTCGCTCACTCTGTGTTATGTCTGTTCCTGTAGGGACTCAGTCTGGAGGTCAGTCCTAGTCTAGCTTGGACCACTTGTCTTTTGCCCATTACACCATGACCAAACACTTAGACGAAGCTCATTCATTTTGTCGATTCCTTGCAGAGCTTTTAGCTTCATGCACTGAACCTTTTGTCTGATGTTGTAAAACATGATTAACTTCCCCTAACCTAGTTTTGTTACGTCCTCAGACTCGAGGATGGGTCTGTATATTTGTATATATATAACTACATGTGTGTTTATTATACGATAAATTACTTGATATTAGGTGTATGATCTTGGCATGTTAGTACTAGCTCAATGGATGTTATTTTGCGTTGCTAAATGCTTCTGTTCAGGCCCCATATATTATACATATCGAATTTGATGTTCGTGTCTGAAGTGATCATGCCCAAACTTTTAGGGGCCGGTTTGAGGTGTGACAAGTGGTATCAGAGCACAAGTTGTTATCTCACACACGAATCCATTGAGCCTTAGGATGTCTAGAAAAGACTGAGGCATCATGCATAATATTCTGAATGTGTATGGAAAGATTGATGGCAACGTTAAATCCAATCTGCTAATGCTAATGATTATGACCCATGTCTATTGTATATTTCTTGTGTATATTGTAATTGATTGTCATGTAGAATATGGTGAGAGCAAGAACGGAAAACCCAGAAGATTCTACTTCTGCACGGTTGGATAGGATGGAGAGAATGATAATGGAAATGGCAGAGACTCTATGACAACAACAGCAACAACCACAACCACAACCGCCGCCACCACCGGTGCCTCTGCCTGTGGTACAAGATTTCCATGCTGAGGACAGAACTATTACACTCATGAGGGAATTTAAGAAGATGAAGCCACCATCATTCAAGGGAGGAATAGAACCAATGAAAGCTGAAACGTGGGTACTGGGAATAGAAAAGTTGTTTGAAGTTTTCCCTTGTACCGAAGCCCAAAAAGTACAACTTGCTGCCTTCACTCTTGAAGATGAACACGGAGGTGGTGGATGCTTACGAGAACTGTACACTAAGGGTTAACATGGGACAGATTCTTGGAACTGTTTTATGACAAGTACTTCCCCCAAAGTATGCGAGACAAGAAGGTGACTGAATTTGAAACTCTTCGACAAGGAAGTAAGACCGTTGCAGAGTATGAAGCTCAATTTACAGAACTAGCCCGGTTTGCACCTCATATGGTGGATACGGATTATAAGAAAGCACAGAAATTTGAAGAGGGATTACGGAGTGCTATCTTGGACCGAGTCAACATGTTGAAGTTACCCACCTATGTTGATGTGTTGGAGAGGGCTGTTATAGTAGAGGGAAGCATTGCTGCTCAGAATCGGATTTCTAAATGGAAAGGAAAGAGGCAGAACATTCAATTATCAAAGGGGTCAATCACTCCACCAAACAAGAAACAAAATTCGGGAACTTCTAGTATTTCCACCCGTACTCCAGATTCAACTCCTGTTTGTTCAGAATGTGGAAAGAAGCACCGTGGGACTTGTTATCGGTTGTCTGGAGCATGTCTTAGGTGTTGCAAAACGGGTCATCTGGTAAAGGATTGTCCTCAAAGGAATCAACAAAATGGCAATAGGACTGCTACAAGCTCAGCAGGGTCTACACCAGCTCCCAACACCAAGTCAGCTGCCAAGCCAGTTAACAATAAAGACACCGCGAGACAGGGGAGAGTGTTTGCATTAGTTCCGGGAGATGTGCAAATTGCTGCAGCCATGGTGTCAGGTACATTTATTGTTCATAGTCATTCTGCTCATGTATTGTTTGATTCTGGCTCTACCCATTCCTTTGTGTCAAAACTATTTGTGCAAAATTTAGATAGATCTGAAGAAGTATTATCCTATATGCTATGTGTGTCCTCACCTTTGGGGGATTTAGTGATCTGTACCTCTGTATATTTTGCTTGTGAACTCCTAATTGGGGATATCTGGGTATATGCCAACTTATTGCCTCTTGACATGACTCACTTTGATATTATTCTGGGTATAGACTGGCTGAGTGAATATGGTGCAACTATTGACTGTTTGACTAAGCAAATCAGTTTCCATCCTCCGGGGCAATCAGAATCTACCTTTCAGGGACGTGGAGTGACTTCTCCACCTTATTTGATTTCCGCAGCAAAGGCTTGTAAATTAATTCAGAAAGGGTGTTAGGGGTATTTATGCAGTGTTTTGGAAGGGCAAGTGATGAATGGGAGTACTGACATGATTCCGATTGTTTGTGAATTTTCGGATGTTTTTTCGGAAGAATTGCCGGGGGAGTTAGTAGACCGTGAAATCGAGTTTACAATTGAAGTGGCACCGGGAACTCAACCCATTTCTAAGAGTCCATGTAGAATGTCACCAGTTGAAATGAAAGAATTGAAGGTTCAGTTGCAAGATTTGCTTGATAAGGGGGGTTCATTCGCCCAAGTGTCTCTCCATGGGGTGCACCAGTTCTGTTTGTGAAAAAGAATGACGGAACACTCCGATTATGTATAGATTACAGGGGACTTAATAAAGTGACAATCAAGAATAAGTACCCATTACCCAGGATCGATGATTTGTTTGATCAGCTACAAGGGGCACAAATATTTTCGAAAATTGATTTACGGTCCGGATACCACTAACTGAAGGTTAAAGCTGATGGTGTTGAGAAGACAACTTTTCGAACCCGGTACGGTCATTATGAATTTATGGTTATGCCCTTTGGAGTTACTAACGCACCAACAGCGTTTATGGATTTGATGAATCGTGTTTTCAAGCCCTATTTGGATGAGTTTCTAGTGGTATTTATTGATGACATCCTTATTTACTCAAAGAATGCAGAAGCTCATGAGAATCATCTTTGTTTAATTCTTCAAATACTCTGAGAAAAGAAACTGTATGCAAAGCTGAAGAAATGTGAATTCTGGCTACATGAGGTGGAATTTTTGGGGCATGTAATAACAAAGGAAGGAGTCTCTGTTGATCCACACAAAATTGAGGCGATCGTGAATTGGCCAACTCCTACCAATGAAACTGAGGTACATAGTTTTATGGGATTAGCCGGGTACTACAGGGGGGTTGTTCAAGATTTCTCCAAAATCGCAGTACCACTTACGCAGCTGACTCAAAAGGGACTTGTATTTGAATGGTTAGAACAGCAAGAATCCGCTTTCTGAGAATTAAAAATGAAGTTAACTACAGCTCCAATTCTTGCCTTACCATCTGGTACCGAAGGATTTGTGATCTAAAGTGATGCTTCTTATAAAGGACTTGGCTGTGTACTTATGCAAAATGGGAGAGTCATTGCTTATGCTTCCCGACAGCTCAAACCCCATGAAAAGAATTATCCCACACATGATCTTGAGCTAGCAGCAGTGGTCTTTGCTTTGAAGATATGGCGGCATTATCTGTATAGGACTACCTGTGAAGCTTATACTGATCATAAGAGCCTCAAGTACCTTTTTACGCAGAAGGAGTTGAATATGCAACATCGACGGTGGTTGAAACTTATTAAGGCTTACGATTTGCAGATCCATGACCATCCTGGTAAGGCCAATACAGTTGTAGACGCACTAAGCCGGAAAGGCAAGGGGAATATGGCAAATTTACTTACAGAACAAAGAGAGTTATTGGCTGAATTGGATAAAATGAGTATAAACCTTATGGTGCATGGACGGGAGGCCATAGTAGCAGCAATGATGGCCCAACCGACATTAATTGAAGAAATCAAACTACCTCAGATAGAGGATGAAACTCTGAAGAGGATATGTGTTGAGCTAGAGACAAAACCAAGATCGGGATTCAATTTGATGAATTTAGTACTCAAATTCCAAGGCAGAATATGTGTTCCCAATGTGTCAGGAATTAGGCAAAAATTGATGGAAGAAGCACATGTCTCGAGATTATCACTGCATCCTGCAAATACTAAGATGTATCGGGATTTAAAACAAAATTTTTGGTGGCCAAGTATGAAAAAGGAAATCGCAGATTTCGTCTCCAAATGTTTGCAATGTCAGCAAGTAAAGGCAGAGCATCAGAGACCGGCAGGGTTATTACAACCCCTTCCAATCCCAAAACGGAAGTGGGAACATCTGACCATGGATTTTGTTGTAGGGTTACCATGGATTCCTCGGGGTATGAATTCTGTATGGGTCATTGTAGATCGGTTAACTAAGTCCGCCCATTTCCTATCTATGAAAACTTAATACAATGCGGACAAACTTGCTATAATCTATGTGAATGAAATTGTGAGACTCCATGGTGTTCCAGTTTCAATAGTATCAGATAGAGACCCGAAGTTTGTATCTAGATTCTGGCAGAGTCTATAGGGAGCAATGGGTAAAGAATTAAAGTTTAGTACAGCTTTCCACCCTCAGACAGACGGACAATCCGAGAGAACGATACAAACATTGGAGGATATGCTCCGAATGTGTGTTTTGGATTTTCAGGGAAGTTGGGAAACTCATCTACCGTTGGTAGAGTTCGCATATAATAACAGCTACCATTCGAGTATTGGAATGGCACCCTATGAGGCTCTGTATGGAAAACCATGTCGTTCCCCCGTGTGTTGGGCCGAAGTTGGAGATAGGTCATTGTTAGGGCCCGAAATTGTTCAGTTGACAACTGAAAAGATTAAAACTATTCGGGGAAGATTAAAAATTGCTCAAAGCAAACAGAAGAGTTATGCGGATAATGGATGGAGGGATTTGGAGTTTGAGGTAGGCAATCATGTTTTCGTGAAAGTCACTCCAATGAAGGGGCACGCAAGATTCAGAAAGAGGGGTAAGTTGACACCTCAATATATTGGTCCATTCCAAATTCTGGAGAAAGTAGGTTCTGTGGCTTACCGAGTTGCTCTTCCTCCAAGTATGAGTCAAGTGCATAATGTGTTTCACATTTCTATGCTCCGAAGTTACCTTCTGGATCCGTCTCATATCATAGACTATCATATCGTTACACTTGATGACAAATTAACCTATAAAGTAAAGCCAATTCAAATTCTGGATCGGCAACTGAAACAACTACGGAACCAACAGATTCCGATCGTGAAAATCGAATGGTAGGAACATAAAGAAGAGGAAATGCAACACTAGTACCCGCATCTGTTCCTACCCAGAGGTAAAACAAGTTTGAGGGACCAAACTTTTTTAAGGGGGGAGATTGTAATAACCCGACCCTCTATATGCTTTTTGCTATACTTTTTGTCCCTTATATTGTGTATTTATCTGGTTAATGTGGAATCCCATGTGAGCTTAAACTTAATTGTGTGAAAAAAATATGGTTATGGGACCATATCTATTACCTAGGAGGAAAATCTATTACAATTGAGATCTTTAGGTCAGAAATTGAAGGCCCTAGAAGCTTGATTAAACTGATTGAGTTTTGTCTTATTGAACCTTTCTATATTATATATATACCTCTTTGATCATTTGACATGGAAGTAATCTTTAACTCAAATATCTCCTAAGAGAGAGAGTTAGAAGAGGAGAAGTTCTTCAAGGGAGAAGATTGGGAAATCAGGAGGGTTTGTAGAGGTTGAGCCAAGGTATGTAAGAATTACTCTACATAAGCTCTTTCTTGAACATGTGTAAGAATTCCCTTTCAATTGTGAGAACTAGGGTTTGTGATTGAAGTTTTGTGTGTGATGCTTACTTAATTGGAAAATTGTACTTATCATTTGCTTGTTTGGAGGTTAATTTGAGTTATGTGGAAGGATTATTTTTCACTCTTTGTTTCCCATGTTGAACTCACATGGTGATACATATGTATTGTTCATATACCAATGATAGCCATCAACATAGAAGAATTGGATTGTAATTGATTATGATTATGAATTGAAAATGATTAATATTAAGGACCTAAGCAAGTTTGTGATTAATCTTTATGTGATTTTGAACCATATTCTTGTGTTTAATTTATCTATTTTGAGCTTTGCTATATGTTACCAAGATGGGTTTTGCTTGAATTTCGGACTGCAAAATAGGGGAAATCGCCGCATGTGTGGGAGTCATGGCCGCACGTGCGGAGCTCACAGCCGCACGTACGGGAAACAGGGGATTGGCTACTGGAATAAAAGCACGGGCGGGACCCACTGCCGCACGTGTGGCTCATGTTGGAAAATTTTATATGCTCTATTTTACGTGTTTGACCATCTGATGTTATAGAAATCTGTATTTGATGCCTTTAAAATGTATGTAAATTCATTTGAAACGAAACGAATCAAGAAATGATTTAAAAAGGAAAAGGAACTAATTTGTGAAATATGCAAGTGTGTAGGTCACAATCCGGGAGGAACTATCGCTCCACTACAGCATAGTGAGTAATAGCACTGTAGTCGTACGCTTTATTTATCGCTAATGATGATTATTAGCACTCTGTTAATCGCAAATCGACTATGTTACCTTATGTGAACAATTGGAGGAATCTGTGTATGTTGTATGACTTTGAGACTAGGCTGCCCTGCTCGTATATGGGCCTAAGGCCAATCTGCAAAATCTGTTGGGCCTAAGGCCAATCTGTAAACTCCGTTGCCCTGAGGCCGATCTGTAAAATCCGTTAGGACCAAGGCCGCTCTGTATGTTACTGGTCTAAAAGCCACTCTGTTTAAAGACTCGGTCCAAGGCTGTTTTGGAAATAGTTACAGAATAAAATTAATTATATGTTTTCTGCACTTACATACATTATAATTCAAGTTAATCATTAAATGGTTTAAGTACTATTATTCACTAAGCTTCGCTCATTCTGTGTTATGTCTGTTTCTGTAGGTACTCAGTCTGGAGGTCAGTCCTAGTCTAGCTTGGACCACTTGTCTTTTGCCCATTACACCACGACCAAGCACTTAGGCGAAGCTCATTCATTTTGTGGAGTCCTTGCAGAGCTTTTGGCTTCGTGCGCTGAACCTTTTTGTCAGATGTTGTAAAACAAGATTAACTTCCCTTAACCTAGTTTTGTTACATCCTCAGACTCGAGGATGGGTCTGTATATTTGTATATATATAACTACATGTGTGTTTATTATACGATAAATTACTTGATAGTAAGTGTATGATCCTGGCATGTTAGTACTAGCTCAATGGATGTTATTTTGCGTTGTTAAATGCTTCCGTTCAGGCCCCATATATTATACATATCGAATTTGATGTCCGTCTCTGAAGTGATCATGCCCAAACTTTTAGGGACGGGTTTGGGGTGTGACATTAAGTGACCATGTTTAACTCAAACTAATTTTGCTTAGCCTCTAAGAATGAGAATTTACAGAGTAATTGTGGCATAACGATATTAGTTTAACATAAGCTGCTCATTTAATGTTTTCTAAATCACCTAAGTGTTCAATTCCCATTTCCAAAAGGATAAATTTCAATTCCGTTCAATTTTCATCCTATTCCCCTTTCTTTTCTCTAACTTTCACATCTATCTTTCAAGAAGAAAGTTTCACTCTAACTCCCTCTATCCTTCTCCAACTTTCTCTCTTTTGTTCTAGGAACTAATTAGCTTAGGCAACTAATAGTTTCATTAGCTTAAGTGGTCAAGTTTAACTCAAACTAATCTTGCTTAGTCGCCGAGAAAGAGATTTTACTGTGTAACAGTAGCTTAACGATATTAGTTTAACTTAAGCACCTCATTTAAGGTTTTCTAAATCACCTTAGCATTCAATTCTGATGTACAACAGGATGAATTACAATTCGCTTTAAATTTCATCCTATTTCCCTTTCTTTTCTCTAACTTTCACTTGTAGCTCTGAAGAAGAAAGTTTTTCTTTAACTCTCTCTGTCCTTATAAATCATTTTCTCTTTTGCCTTGGAAACTAATTAACTTGGGCAACTAATAGTTTAATAAGGTTAAGTGGCCAAGTTTAACCCAAACTAATGTTGCTTAGCCTCCAAGAAACAGAATTTACAGAGTAATTGTGGCTTAATGATATTAGTTTAACTTAAGCACCTGATTTAATATTTTCTAAATCACCTAAGTGTTCAATTCTCATATCCAAAATGTTGAATTTGAATTCCCTTTAACTTTTATCCTATTTCTCTTTCTTTTCTCTAACCTTCTCTTTTTGTTCTCAAGAAAAAAGATTCTCCATAACTCTCTCTATCCTTCTCCATCCTTCTCTATTTTGTTCTTGGAACTAATTAGCTTATGCAACTAATTGTTTCATTAGGTTAAGTGGCCAAGTTTAACTCAAACTAATCTTGCTTAGTCGCCAAGAAACAAATTTTACTGAGTAATTATGGCTCAATGATATTAGTTTAACTTAAGCACCTCGTTTAAGGTTATCTAAATCACCTTAGTGTTCAATTTTCAAGTACAAAATGATGAATTTGAATTCCCTTTTATTTTTATCCTATTGCCCTTTCTTTTGTCTAACTTTCACTTCTAGCTCTGAAGAAGAAAGTTTCCCTTTAACTCTCTCTGTCCTTCTAAATCATCCTCTCTTTTGCCCTTGGAACGAATTAGCTTTGGCAACTAACAGTTTCATTAGGTTAAGTGGTCAAGTTTAACTCAAACTAATCTTGCTTAGCCTCTAAGAAAGAAAATTTACTGTAACAACCCGACCCTCATATGTGCTTGTGATATATGTTAGTCCTTTATTCTGTGCTGTTAAATGCCTAAGATGAAACTGTACAAGAAAATAAGTTCAAGTAACTATGTTGTAATGCCTTGTGGAATGAATTGTATCTGTTAGGAAAGAAATGTATCTGTTACTACTAGGACGATACAGTAGAAATTGAGGGCCTTAGAGGCTTAATAAGTCAAAATTGATCATATATTTGGAACCAGCATAATTTTTAGGTACTATTAAGCACTTCTGTGAAATTTCAATTTTCGGATGTGTAAACGATTGATTTTCGTCTTATTCTCTCTTTATGGAAATATATATGTGTGTTCTTGGTCATTTGAAAACCAAGGAATTCATAACTCAAAACTTAAGAATTGAAGGGTAGAGAGAGAAGGTCCTCAAGAAGGTTGGGATTTGGGCTTAAGGTATGTAAATGTGTGTCTAATTTTCATCCACAACCCTTCTTGTCATAATTTATGTGAAGATGTTTCAATAATCATGTACCTAAGAGTTGGGATTGTGGTGTTGTGGATATGAGAAGTAAATTAGCAAGATGACCTTACTTTGCATGTTTTGACTCAATTTGAAGTACCTATGAGAGGCTTTACTCTATTTCTTCAATTGACTTGTTTGAATTCAAGTAGGTAGCATGATTTTATGTTTATGTATTGAGATGTGAGAACAAGTAGGTATCTTATGAATTGGAGTGAATTTAAGTTGTAGATTCATGATTTGATTTTTACTCAAATGAAATATGTAATTTGATCCTTGTTCACATGTATTCATATGCTTTGAGCTTATATATTAGCAATTTAAAGCTAGAGCTTTGAGGCCCTAAACATGTCTACAAGAGGAAGAAATTGTGCAGAATTTTCGGACTTTTTGGTGCAAAATCGCCGCACGTGCGGGAACCTCAGCCGCACGTGCGGGAGTCACTGCCGCACGTGCGGGAAAATGGCAAATTTTGGACCTCAACACTGCAAAAATAGCACGTGCGGGGCCTCAATGCCGCACGTGCGGGAGGTGTGCCGCACGTGCGGGAGATCCTAGCCGCACGTGCGGCTCAAGTCAGAAAAGTTGGGATGCTCCGTTTTGCGTGTTGGGTCCTCTAATGTTGTCAAAACTTGCAATTTATATTGTTTGAATGTTCGTTAATTCAATCAAAGTAAGTGAACCGAATGTTGATTTAACAAGGATAAAAGGGACTAATGTGATGTTTCATGTGTGTAGGAAACGCCTCAAAAGGAAGTGCACCGACACAACACAGTGAGTAATAGTACTTCAATGTACCTCTACTCGGTATTTATCTTTATTGACGTTGTGACCCTTGTTGAAAGTATTATCATATTATGTATTGACGTTATATCTTGACGTTACGAACTTCACTATCAAACTTGTGTTGGCATGAAATGATATATTTGCTATAAGTGATTCAATACGAAATTGTGGAAACATTGAAAAAGGTTGTGAAGTTGTACACATCTTATGTGAAAGCTTGTGACTAATG